TCTGTGCCCGGGGATCCCGCGTACTGATGGGGTCTGTCACGGTCACGTCGCATACCCAAACCGCCCCACTGCTCCTATCGGTCATGGTGAAATCGGCCGTCTGTTCGTCGATAGGGCAGTGGGCAGCCGACTCGCTGTGGACTATAAAACCCGCGTCCTGAGCCATACTAATGCAAGCATCACGGAGCTCGTTGTGGGTGTTGATGCGATGCTTGCCGGTGCCGCAGCGTAGGAGGTGGTTTGGGAGGCGGGGGTCCAGGATTTCAGTGTAATCCGAGCAGTCACAGTTTTTGGGGGTGGAGAAGGGCAACCCCAGCCTGAATCTGACGGCATTGGTGAAGTGGACTGGCCCTATGCGCCTGGTTGCTTCGATAGGGATTGCCGTCAGCCAGTCCCCAGTGTCGTAGCCTGTTAGAGAGAACATGCGCTGCGTATGGCCCGCCAGCGGATTCAGCTCCATGTCTCTAGTTGCTTGCACTTGCACAGCGTAGCGGCTGCCGTGGACCTGTAGGGCCAGGGCGTGCTGTAGCTTGACATCTGTCCGCTTAGTCCGTTCCCGTTCTAGCAGCTCTCGCGCATCGGAGGGCAGGGCGGTCTCGCACTCAGTGAGCCAGGAGCGAAGTGGTGTGTTTTCGTCCCTAGGCAGGAGCATGTGGTTGCGCGCGTGAGACAGTGCGGAGTCCGTGTCTAGCGCGAGCGTGGAGAAGAGCAGAGCTGCCTGTGTGAAGCTCGCGACGAAACTGTAGACTCCCTCAATGAGGGGGTCAGTAACCCCGATTCCCCCAAGAGAAGGGGGCAAGGACGCCTGGGCCCAGACGCGTGCCTGCTCTGCCCTGCCCGCCGGCGCACGAATGTTGCACGAGGTAAGGAGCGCTAAGAGGAGGTCCCGGCCCCACTCCGTCCAGGTATCACGGGAGACGAGGTTGAGGGGTGTTGTTCGGGTGAGATATGCCACGCGCCGAGAGATGCAGCGCGTGATCAGCAGCGATGCGACCTGAGGATCGGCCCGCTCGATGAGTGGTAACGGTTTCGCCAGGTCCTTCAGCTGCCCTGTCAAGAACGTAGCTGCACCGCTAGCCGCCCCCAGATAACTTCCGAGCAGACGGATGCCGTCCGTGCAGAACGACACCCTTGGTGGCAGCCTCGTGGAGTCGCACGGAACTGAGCTCCATGCCGTGCATTTATGCGGGTTGTGTTTCAGGCCCAGCAATTCCAACTTCGCGGTGAAGTGGTTGAATCAGCTACAGTGGCACGGTGCTCTCCCACGAATGTCACGTCGTCCGCATAAGCCTAGCAAAGCACCCCCGGATATGCTGCTGCAGTGTCGCGAAGTGAGGGGTGTATTCCCGCCGCAAACAGTAGCGGGCCTAGTGGATCGCCCTGGCGAACGCCCCGTTCGCTGTGCAAGGGTTCGCATGCAAAGTTCGAATCCAGGTAGAGCCGCGACGGGTTACCGTAGGTCAGGCGAACCAGTGGGAGCAGTGGCGACAGTGCTGGCTCTTGTAACGCTGCTGCGATGGATTGTCGCGAGATGCTGTTGAAAGCATTCGCGATATCGGTCTGTAGTACCAAGCTGTTCGGGTGGCCGTCCACGTACGTTCGGGCGGCATGAATTATCGCTTCTGCCCCTCCAGGCACTGCCACTCCGTGCTGTAGTGGTAGGAAATAATCACGTGCAGCTTCGCCCATGACCAACAGCGCAGCCTTGGCAGCCAGACGCGTCAGACATTCGCCGATCGCGATTGGTCGGGCACCTCCTCCAGGCTTGGCCAGGGCGATGAGTCGCGATGCTGTCAGCAGGTCTGCCACCGAGGCTGGGAGATTTCCCCCAAGGATTGTGTTGACCAGGGCGTGCAGATGGGTGCAGATGGATGCGTTGGTTACTGCCGCGTCGCGTAAATGTTCAAATGTCGTTCCCGATGGACCGGCCCCCACACCATTATCGCATCGCCCAAGCAGCTTCGCAAATTCTACGCGCGAAATGCCCAGGGGCCGGGTGTCGGTGGTTTGCCAGGTCAGCGGCTCTGCCCCTGCTGGAGGGTGTTTCTGGCGAAGTTCAGCCAGAATTTCTGGACTTGGCGTGCAGACGGGCGTTGACTCGAGCGCCAGCACGGCACGGCGCAGGCTGCCACGTTTCGCCAACCCCTCTGCCCGACTCAAAACACCTGTCACATTGGGTTGATGACGCGGGGGCGGAGGGGTGTTGACTGCGTTTACCGCCTCCTGATAAAGCCGAACCCACTCGCCACGCTGGAAAGCCCGAAGTCGGGCCTAGATTTGTGGCCAGTTCGGGAGCTTTGGCAAAGCTTGGCGAAGTGTCAAACGCGGGAGGAAGAGTAGTAGTCGCCAGCCAGCCTCGGAGTCGGGGTTTCACGAGAGGTGGTGCAGGGGTGTCAGGAGTGCCAGCGAAAAGAGTTGGCACAGATTTGGCGGCAATCTCCTTGACAGGGGCGGTTGTCGACTGTCGCAGAGGACTGTAATATCCCAGTTCGCGATGTCAGCGAACAAATCGCTCTTCTCTGCCAGCTCCTCTGGCGAAAAATAGCGGGGCAACTGCGGGGTCGTGACTGATGACTGGTTAGGAATTGCGGTCCGATTTCTTCGAGCGCGGCCCGATCTCGCTGAATGCTGCCGAGATGGGTTCACGTCCGTTCGATCAGCTACTGACGGCCCCGATTGTCCGTGCGGTCCTGCTGTGGGTAAGTTGACTGCACCTGGTCCACTCCTTCCCCGTCCTTCCCTTGTTGTCTCAGCACCAACGTCTTCCTCGTTTTCACTCTCGGGCTCCACTTCCACGCTATAAGAGGGGTCGTTTCTCTCTTCTACTTTAGTAGCCGCCACCAGAGCTATAAAAGCCCTACGCCCTGCCGCTTGATACCCGTTCTCCGGTCCTCCGCCTGCCCCGCTAGCTTCCCGTCTCCGCTCTTCCCGGGCTCTCTGTTCACGCGATGGTGATTGCTGGGGCGCCTGAGCCGTCGCCAGAGCTCGCTGCCTCCTGGTCGGCAATGGTCTCCAGGCCTCCGTCGGAGCCCAAAAGGGCAACCACGGCAACGAAGCCCCCTCTGCCACCGCCTCCGAAGCCCTCGCCAACAGCCGCTGAAAAGATTCCTCCCCCCGGACCCGAGGCTCCCCTTGTCGCGGGAGCGCCGGGATCGACCGCGACTGCTGTCGCTCCTGCTCCTGTACCTGCCTCTGCTGATCCCCCTGCACCGCTGGCGCCGACTGAGCCCCCGGCGGCTCCTGCTGCTCCCCCATTGTCTGTTGCCAACCCCGCGGTTCCCTCGCCTGCTGGACACGCTGTCGCGCCTGGGTTGCCGGCTCCTGCTCCTGGCGCAACCGTGGCGCCGACTGCTGCTGACCCTGGGGCCCCTGCTCCTGCTCCTGGCCTACCCGTTCCACCGGCAGCGAGTGCTCCTGCCGCGGCCGCTCCTGTCCCTCGCGTGCCCGTGGTGCCGTCAGCTGTTGACCCTGGCGCGCTTGCTCCGGCCTCTGCCTCGTCACTACAGGCGGCGTCCGCCACCACTGGCGGCCCGGCCCCGTTGCTCGCTCCTTCCGCTGGGGGTCCCCCTGCTCCTGTGACTCTCCCCGTTGCGCAGACTGGCCCACCAGCGCGCCAGTCGCGGCCGCATTCGCCCGCGGCCCACCAGGAGCGGCGATCGTCTCGCCGCCGCCGCGATTCTCCCCGCCGTAATCAGCAGCAGGCGCACTGGCCTGCTCACCCCGGGGGCCAGGGGGGCTGGAGAGGTCCCCGCGGGCGTGGGGTCGGGTATCGTCCGCCTGTGACGATGGCGGACCTGCAGAGGGAGGTGACGCGGGCCGTGCGCGAGGAGAGGGCGGCGCAAAGCCAGAGCAGTGCAATGCGCGTCCTGCCGACCCCCGTTGCTCCTCGCCAGAATATGCTCCCGCCTCGTCCGCCGGCCGTCGTTGCGCCGCCTCCGCTGAATCCCTTTCCGGCGGCTCCTGCTCCCGCCGCCTCAGCCCCCGCCCCTGGGTCGCGTCTTCACCTGCCGCCTGTTCCGCCGGTTGCGGGGGTGGAGTTTGTAGCTGCCGGTGAAAGCTCAGCGTCTGTGCAGCAGCCGCCTTCTGCGGAGGTTGACGAGCCGTTCCATTTCTTGGCTGAGGCTCTGCAGCCTCCGCAGACGCGCGTACCCAAGGCGACACTCGGTCAGCTCCACCGCCTCGCGGAGAGCCTACACGCGCTGCTGTTGATTCAGGTGCTTGCGCACTCATCACTCCCTGTGATCCCTCCCGAGACCTTTTGCAGCCGCCAGCGTGCGACGTGCCTGGACGCGGCCGACCAGCTCGCCCGTGCTGGCTGCGCCCACGGAGGGAGGCGCTGCTGCTGCGGGACAGCTTGGCGAGGCTGTTCGCTGTATGAGGCGGCACTTGCGCGCAGGATCTGGAGCCGCGGCGATCGGCGCAAGCACGCTTGTGGCCCGGGAGCTGGGGCGCTCCCTGACGGGCATTCTCCATGCCCTTGGAGCTCACCGCGTGTAGGCGCGGGCTCCGGTTGCTCCATGTAGTGAATCACGCGGCTAGGCCGCGGTAGGTGTTGCCATGTGTGTAATGTTTGTTATCTTAAAAACAGCCCCGTGTGTGCGTTCTTGCCGTCCCCTCACGCGCGGCCCAAGGCCTATGAAAAACCGAACAATGAGGAACTAGGCTGGCTGCTAGAGCCTTTATACTAGGGGACAAGGGCTGAGAGGCTAAGGGAGAGGCTAAGGTCTCTCTCTCTCTCTCTCTCTCTCTCTCTCTCTCTCTCTCTCTCTCTCTCTCTCTCTCTCTCTCTCTCTCTCTCTCTCTCTCTCTCTCGCTCTCTCGAACGAGCTGCCGGATTCGCAGTGAGAATGAGCTCACCCCCGAAACGCTGATGGTCACAAGGCTGAAGCGCCTTGGGTTTAGGGTTTCCTTATAAAGGGGGTGGGTGTCTTATAATCGGTTCTTGCATTCAGGGGTGGGGGGGGTACATGCATGCATTTATCCAATCTTACTATTTCTACCTAGCCCCCCTTGGTTACGCCCTCCTCATCTGCACTAGCAGATGCTGGCTCCTGCATCCCCAAGTCTGGCACTCGGTAGGCGTGCCTGGCTGTCTGCACGGGCTCGATCATGCGGTCAGCCTCGGCCGCCGCTCCCCGGTAGTGAGGGGTCTCCTGGTACAGCACCTCCAGGCCGGTGACCACGGCCACCTCCCTCACGCCCTCCGCCTGCATCTCCTCCTCCTCCTCCTCCTCCTCCTCCTCCTCCTCCTCCTCCTCCTCCTCCTCCTCCTCCTCCTCCTCCTCCTCCTCCTCCTCCTCCTCCTCGGGAGCCTTCCCAAGCAGGCGCGTGTTGTCGCCCGTGGTGCCCCCGAGGCACATGTCTTTGCTGACATCGGTGGTGCTCCTCGCGCGCAGGTGGGACATCACCAGATGGTTCTCGGTCCTATCCAGCTTGCTTGAGATGCCGCAGTGACGGAACGCGTCAATGATCACCTGCCTAGGGACTTGATCCCACACCTCCGCTATCCACTGCAGCACCATGGGATGCGGGGGTCTCCTCAGGTTCCCTGCGGGTGGGTCACATGCAGAGCAAGCGTGCCGTCAGATACCGTACATCAAGAGCTACACTTGCAGGCATTTACTGATCACCGACAGTGGACTCACCGTGCTTCGTCTTTAGGTAAAGGCCTTCACGCATGAACCACCTAGCGTAGCGAGCTCGCACCCCGGCCTTGAAACACCGATTGATGGAAACGTCAAGTGGTTGAATTTGACTGGTGCAACCTGCAGGAATTACAGCAGAAGTGATGCTGTGCGTGCGATAGGCGCGAAGCATGCCCTGGGTGATGTGGCCGCGATACGAATCCGGAACCAGCATCGCACGCCGTGTGCACTGGCCGCGCTGGGGGTTGAGATGAGGCAGCACCTCCTTCGTCAGCCAAGTCCACACAGCGGTCTCGTCCATCCAACCGTTGTCCTGTGCTTGGACCACCACTCCTGCCAGGCACATAGGGAGATAGGGGAGTGAGCCAAACAGGGCCACGGTGGTCTCCCTAAACCCAAATTCGTTTAGCTCACCAGCGGGGACGTCACACATCGGCACGTTCTTCATTTTGAACCAAACCCACGGCTGCAGCTTCTCCCCGGATGCCGTGCACGCGAGCATCACTGTCAGCCGCATCTTCTCGTAGCCGGCCGTGTGGATCGGGACCGAGCGCGCACCACGGTGGTCAAGGGTCCTCTCGGCCGGCATTTCAACGAAGAGGGGCGTTTGATCCGCATTGATGATGCGGCTTAGGTCGATGTTGTGCCGTGCCCTGTTGATCCTGACGAACTTCCAAAAAGACTCGCAGTCTTTTGCGCATTTTGCCAAGGCAAAAGAACACACACAAGGATGGGATGAGTCAGGTTATGCAAGTTAATATCGTGGTAAGGACAGGGAGTTGACAATGCGCAGTGAATTCACAGCCTAGAACCACTCACCAGCCGACAACCGCTGGCCAACCTTTGTCTTCACCCGCATGACGAGATTCCAGCGGTCGCGGAAACGTTGGCTCCAGTGGGAGCTCGTGTTCCAGTTCTTCCCGGGGTGGTGCTTCTTCATCCACTCGCGGCTCCACTTCTGCGTGTCCTTGACCGAGATCGCCACCCCATTCGCGCGATGCAAGCAGATGTAGCGGTACAGCGCCGCCTCCATGTCGGGGTGGTGTGAGTGGCGGCCTGCCCCATGCATGCGCTTGCGAGAATTCGCAGCGCCCTTGTACATGCCCGCTGCAGCCTGCGCGCTCCAGCGTCTGATGCACGCGATGCTTGCCGAAGACTCGGCCGAGGTCTTCTTGAGGGGGCCGAGCTCCGCGTAGCGACGCGCCCACTTCACCTTTTCGCGCACGGACCAGCTCCGCCTGGTCCTCTTAATCCCACGACTGCGTGGGGAAGGGGGGCGAGAGTTAGCATTACAGATGGTGTGGTCTTTTGGCTTCGCCTTCTCAGGGAATGAAGGCATGGGGCCTGCAGCCTCCGCGTAGTCGTCGTCACTGCCCTGCGCCTCGTTGACCAAGATGTCGTCTTTGTTCTTGACAGCCTTCTTCTGCCTCTTCGCGCCTTTGCTTGAACCCGGGTCGCCATCGTCCTTCCGCTTCTTCTTGCTCTGGCCGACGCGAGGGGCGACCTTAGCAGGAACCGCCACCACCTTAGCCTTCCCCTTTTCAGCAGCAGGGACGCGGGGTCGCCGCTCCTCATCTGGGCTGTCGTCGTCCGAGAGCACCACCCGGGTTTTTTTCCGGGACACGCCTAGGCGGTGATGCAGCCGCCTCTTCAACAGAGGCACGTCATCATCTGACGAGACGCGCCATGGGTCGTCCGCGTCGTCCTCGCCTTCGAAGAAGACAGCATCACGGCCATCACCCGCCTCTGCCACCACAACAGCAGCCGTATTTGCATCTGCATCCGCCTCCGCCTCCGATCCCGCTTCGTCGTCTGCATCCGCCTCCGCATCCGCATTCTCTGGTGCATCCGCATCCGCAACCGAATCACGCATCGCCCCCGCAGGCACATCCGCAGCCGCCGCCGCTTGAGCTTCTACCGTCGCATCCGCCGCCGCATCAGCAACCGCATCCGCGCCTCCGTCGTCGTCATCGTCGCCGGCGCGCCACTCCTCCACATCGTCGCCGGAGCCTATCGGCTGCATCCACCAGTCGTCATCGTCAATGCCTCCGGCAGGCACCTCGTCACCAGATTCGCTGTCGCCGTGGCCGTTTTCCGGCCAGTCCTCTTCATCCTCGTCGCCATGATGTTCGTCGACAGCGTCTTCGTCGCCCTCTTCCTCGTCACAACTTGCGCCAGAGCCGGCGTTGGAGCACCCCGCCGGTTGGCGCTTCTCTTTCGCCATGTCTACCCGGATGTCGTCACCGGGCAAGTTGATGCGCCCATAGTTGGTAACCTGGACGTTAGGTAGAGGAGACGGCGCGCTTGCAGGGTGCTTACTACGCATGATAGAGCCTGCTTAGAGCTAAGGTTGAGCCACTTTTGAGTTTCATGAGCTAAAAATGAAGCTCAACCTCGACTACCCCCCATTCCAGAGTGGCCCCTCCCTTGGAAGACGAGCCGCTCCTCTACGGCAAATTTGCTCGTAGAGGACAGGTCAGGATGGCAAGATGCTGCCATCGTGCTGCTGGCAACGTTCTAGAAGGCTCTGTTCCCTGCTGGCAGCAAAACGACACTGGAAGCATCATGAGATGCTGCCAGCAGGGCGGGATTCTGCCAGCACAAGCAGCATTGATGCTTCTCATCACGTGGCACGAGGTGGCGGCGCATGAATCGCATCAAAATGTGGCTGTTCTCAATCAATCCGCCCCGTGGGTGGTTTCTACAGTCTTCCCGAATGTTACAAGGTTCTTATATATTTTGCCTATTTATAAGAATTATAAGACACCCCAAACCTTCCCAAATATAAGACACAGCAAGCATTTTTTCTAATGTATAAGATAAGACATATATGTCTTCTATCCTGGCGATGACGGTAACAAGAACATAAGATAAAAGGAAGTAAAAACGTCAAAGAAATGTGCAAATACGAGGTTGTAAGCATGCAAAACAAGAAAGAGACGATGAATAGTAGAAGAATGGATGCAATCTAGAGAAAAACCTAAAGCTAAACTATCTACAACAATCATAGAACGCAAGCCTTAAACAACATGCTGCAAATACTATGTTAAACGACCACGATATGAGACTAAGAAATGGTAGTCTAACTTCTAATGATCTGATTTGGCTCAAAATGAGAAGTTAAGGTAGTTCTTACCTTGCACTAGTAGGTGGAGCGTGTCTGGCCGGGATAAGCATGCAGGTATATATATAGATCACAGTACAAACGAAGCCTACAGCAAGTGAGGAAAAGAGGGCACAAGCCCCAGCATAATGCAAAAGCGCTGATGATCACCAGGCTGAAGTGCCTTGGTGAATATATCAGCGGTGTTGGCCTGAGTGGCCATGTAACTCAGACGAAGCTGACCACGCTGCTGCAGCTCTCAAGCCAGGAAGTAACGGAGAGCGATGTGCTTCGTTTTGTGCTCCAGTCTGTGCTCCTCACACAAGGCAATAGCAGCCTTGTTGTCGACGTACAGCACTGGAGGAGAACTAGGCCGCTCTCCCAAGTCAGTCAGCAGGTAGGTCAGCCAGCGTAGCTCCTGTGCAGCCATGGCTACAGCGTGGATCTCAGCCTCACAACTGGAGCTGAGAACTAAAGACAAGCGAGTAGAACGCCAAGAAACTGAACCAGAGCCAAGGCTGAAGGAGTAACCCTGTGACGACCGCTGAGTAGCCTGGTCGTCAACCCAAGAAGCGTCTGAGTGCCCAGTGAGAACAACTGAGCGCCTCCCTCCAAGCACGAGCCCCATGCCTGACGTACTGCACAAATAGCGCAGTACCCTCTTAGCAACAGCCATGTGCTCAGGTCGGTGCCGACCAGGAGCCACGTAGCGAGCCAGAAGGCCAAGAGGGTACGCGAGGTCAGGACGAGTGCAAGTCATCAGGTACATGAGGCAACCAACTAGCTCTGGGTAAGGACCACTCGGCTCTACAGACTCGTCCGAAGGTGGAGCTGAGAGTGAGTGACCTGTAGCCAGAGGAGTGGCCTGTGCCGAGGACTACGTGAAGCCGAAGCGCTCAAGGACCTGCTGCACCATGTGTGACTGAGTCAGTGTGATGGTGCGGCGTGCTCTGTCCCGGGTGATCCACAAGCCAAGATAGCTTGTCAGCTCACCCAGGTCTGTGCACGTGTGTCTCTTCTGCAGCTCCGACTTCACGTGGGCGAGAGCCTTAGTGTCAGCTGTGGGAAAGACCAAGTCGTCGACGTACACGAGGATGTAGAACGGCGGCAGCGAAGTGTCGGTGCGTAAAAACAGCGACGGGTCAGCAGTAGAAGGCGCGAACCCAAGAGCCGCAAGAGTCGTCCTCAGTGTGTCGTGCCACTCACGTGGCGCCTGGCGGAGACCGTAGACTGGCCGTCGGAGGCTCCACTGGGTACCAGGAGGAAACGACCTAGTGAAACCAGGTGGACGGCGCAGCCAGATCTCCTCGTGCAGGCTGCCCTGCAAGAAAGCTGTGCTGAAGTCAAGAGAGTGAAGCTCGTAGTCACGCTGAGCGGCAACGTGTAGCAGCACCCGAAGAGTAGTCATCTTCGGGGTGGGGGAGAAGGTCTGGAAGAAGTCAACTCCCTCTCGCTGACTGAAGCCTCGAGCAACGTAACGAGCCTTGAAGACAGGTGGAGAACCTGGCGGCCGCTTCACCCTGAAAATCCACATGCCACTGACGATGTTCGCCTCAGGAGGGGGAACCTCGTTAACGTAGGTGTCTGTGGACTTCCAGGATGCCATCTCCGCTTCCATGGCTGTCGGCCACTCAGAGGAGTAGGGACCCTCGATCGCCTTAGCGTACGATCGTGAAGATGGGATGTCTGGTGCATCCGGGTCTCCCTCAGGGGCAAGCAGCATGGATACGAGATGAGGCGTAGCGGCTGCAAGACACTCAAGGTCCTCCTGCCTGTCCTCAAGGACGTCTGTGCCAAGAGCACACTCACCCCCGACGGACGGAGGACAGATAGACTGAGACTCAGCAACAAGACGAGCGGCGTAGTCTAGACGACAGTGAGCAGCAAAGTCGAAAAGCTCAGCGACCAAGGCAGACGCACCAGCAGACTCAAACGATGGGTCGGCGACAACAGTGGCTAGCAGACGCGTGATAGTAGGGTGCTCAGCACGAAACCGGTCAGACTCAGGGTCAGCAACGACAGGTAGAGAGGACGCAGGCGGAGACGGTAGGTGAACACGTGGCGGCGGAGAGGAAGGACGACGGACGACAAGGGAAGGGCCGGAGACAGCCGGCTGATGCTGACGAGGAACACGACGACTGGAACGACCGGAACAGACAGGTGAGACAGGACGCGACACAGGCTCACGATGCTCAGTAAGGCCCTCTCTCCGCTGAGTGTAAGGAGAAGGAGCAGGCAGAGGTGAGCCAGGCTGTAACGGAAGACCAGTAGACGACGGGAGGCTAAGAACCTGGCGAAGCACAGAGTCAGCCAGTGGCAGAGACGACGGAGCCGGTGGAGCAATGAACAGGCGCGGCTGTGCAGTGCCACCAGCACCAGCAGCTCCAACACCCTCAGCAGCTCCAGCACCTCCAGTAGCTCCAGTACCCGCAGCAGCTCCAGCACCTCCAGTAGCTCCAGTACCCTCAGCAGCTCCAGCTCCTCCAGCAGCTCCAGTACCCTCAGTAGCTCCAGCTCCTCCAGCAGCTCCAGTACCCTCAGCAGCTCTAGAACCCTCAGCACTAGTCCCACCTGGTGCAGCACCCTCAGAACCGGCACCTCCAGTCCCAGGTTCGCCAATCGCAGTGTCACCAGAAGCAGTACCCTCAGACACGCCACCGTCAGCCCCAGCAGCTCCTGTACTCCCAGTACAAGCACCTTCAGGACCAGTGACACCGGTACCTCCAGCAGGCAAAGGACCAGCACCACTCCCAGCTCCAGTGACGCCAGCAGAAGAACCCCCAGCAGTAGAGCCTTGAGGTGAAGAAGCGCGACGCTGACGGCGACCGTACCAGTCGTGCAGCTGCTAAGAGGTGAGAGGCACATGTGGACGAAGACGGCTACTCCAAGGAGACCGCGGAACAGCAGTCGCAGGACCCGCAGGCGACTCACCCACAGACCCAGCACCCCCAGGCCCCGCACACGCAGGCTCAGCATCCCCAAACGCAGCACCCCCAGACACAGCACCCCCAGACGCAGCACCCCCAAGACGTAGCACCCCCAGACGGAGGACCTCCAGACTCCTCACGCGCAGGCTCAGCACCTCCAGGCTTCGTACCCTCAGGCCCCTCACGCCCAACGCCCCCAGACCCAGCACCCACACGCTGCACAACCCCAAGCTCCGCACCCCCAGGGTCAGCACCACCACCAGTAGGACCGGAGTCACCAGTGACCTCAACAGGAGCAGGGACGAGAGGGTCTACCGGAGAAACACCTGAAGGAGCAGGACCTGGCACAAGGAGGGGGTCTACCTGCGGAGGACCTGGGGCAAGAAAGAGTGGCGGGAGAGGGCGAGGAGCAGTGCAGTAGGGGAAGAGGCGGTAAAAGAGGACGGACTCGTCAAAGGTGACATCCTGGGTCGCAAAGACACGGCGCGAGGCTGGGTCGTAAAACTGCCAACCAGGCGCGTCAGGGACGAAGCCAAGGAAGACGCAAGGAATGGCGCGAGGGGAGAGCTTGTCCGCGGTGGTATCGCGAACAAAGGCACGAGCACCCCAGACCCGGAAACGCGACGCGTCGCCAACCTTCCCCGTCCACAGCAGTGTGGCAAGGTCTCTGGCAAGGAGACACGGGGCCAAAGGTTGAGCTGATGCGCGACGTACCGGACCGCAAACGGCCACAGAAAATGGGGGGCAGCCGCATGGATCATGGAGGTACGAGCTACCTCCATGACTAAGCCAATGCGGCGCTCAGCAACCCCATTCTGCTGCGGAGAGGCCGGAAGCGTGAAAGTCTGGCGGATGCCGTTGTGAGGATCTAGGATCGAGCTCAGAGAAGAGAATGTGAATTGAATGATCACCTGGGTACAACATGAGGCTATATATAGGCTCGACACAAGGCAGGTAACCCAGGTGTTACGCGAATGTTCTGAGGGTCGCGAAGCGTCCCGAACAGAACGCGAACTCGGTAGAAAGCAATTCGGTGGCGACCGAATAGCTTGAGTTCGGTACACGTAACCTTGTTCGGTGCCTATAACTATAATAACTATAGTATAGCAACGAACCTAGGAAATCAAGCAATTCATGCATGCATAAAATAATCCTAAGCTAGGAATAGCGTAAGGAAATAATAGCAAGCATGAATAACAAGCATAAGCCGACGTACTCTCACACGTCCCCCCCTCAAAGCTGGGTGGCGTGAGATACACCCTGCTTGACAAGATAATCCTTGAGAGCACGGCGTGC